GGCAAAGGTGCAGTGCGGTCAATGCGTTATTTGCAATTCATTGCAGCCATGGGAATCCAAATGGGAAAAGGCAGGAAGGTGGGTGGCGAGGCAGATGGAGCTGGCCAGGCGTCGGAGGAGCAGACCGTTCATGGTCCGCTTTCAGCTTTATGGCTTAATTTTTGGGGCTGCCGCTCTTGCTATTCCTGTGCTGTGCCACACATTCGCAGGCAATTTAAATGCTAATCAATTTGGCGCGTTTAACGCTCCGCCTGCAACATGGCAATCTGCCCCACATGCCGGCAAATCCAATCCAGCCAGCGTTGCACACAATTCAAACAAACAAGTCGCCAGGAATTATGAAAGGCAGCGCATTCTGCACAGGGCCCAAAAACGGCAGCCAAATGAAATAATAATCACTGGCTAGGGAAATAAATATGGACCGGGAATGGAAAAAGGCCAGAGACGCTACCCACACAGCAAAATCTTCGCCACTAAATTATAGTTCATTAAAAATGTCGGTAGTTCGATCACAAATTATCCTTAGAACTGCATAGAACATACATTTATAACAGTTTTACCCAAGCGCGGAAAAATGTTATTATAATCTGAATAATATATTTTCCAAACTAGCCATCGCCGCCGTGCTATCAATCTTTTTCATAACCTACCCGGTGTTTGTTTTTCCTAAACCAGACCAGAAAACACAACCAGAAAAGCCAAGGGAATGGGAAAATAGTGCCAACTGGACAGGGAAAAGTTATGGGCGATGTGCAGGCTGAAAAAATGCAACACGTTGCATTTGAATAAAATGTGCGAGTAAAAATTTGGGGGACCAGGGGGCGGGGTATTTTTTGATAAGCGGAACGAGTGTGGAGCCATAGATAACAGATTACAAAAAATATAGAACAGACTTTTGATTTATGGCTTCGGTTCGGAGATTTGTAGATGCAAACACAAACCGAAATCAAAATCAAAGGCGAGCACTGATTGTTGTGAAATTGAAAAAAAAAAAAAAACAGTTGTAAAAGTACATTTAAAGGTGCTTCAATTCGGAAACTATAGCATTAGATTGAAATTTTGTCAATGATTTTAAAAACCAGCGAAGAGCCAAAAAGACGTACTTCAGTATAGATGATCTAAAAAGAGCAGCAGCAGATGGAGTAGAGTAATAGAAAGAAAACAGAACCGCGATAAAATTTCATTATGTCGATTTTGTGGATTTTCCTAAGTAAAGAGAAAACTGTGGGGGAAAACATGACGAGAAAATGTGGAAAATAGGAAGCTCCAATGGCTGCAAGTGGCTCAAAAAGTGCCTCAAGATGCGGCAGCATTGGTCCAGGACAGCAGTTACTTTGCATCTTTTAAGCACTGCTCCTCGGACGGAACACAGGATAAAAAAGCAATGTCAGTGGGAAAATTTGAAGGTAAGGGGATAAAGAAGTTTTCATTGGTTTCGGCTGCGGGCTGATGCTGATGCTGATGCAGCCGAAGCAGCTTCAGGTATTTTCTCATCCTTTTATCCAGGCTCATCAAAATCATTCATTTGCATGAAGCCAAATTGCCAAGCTGGAATTGAGTTGAATTTATAAGGATTGTTATGGAATTATAGAGATGTCTTTAAAAACGATGATATGAGAGCTTAGAAATTGTGAGATACTTAAAAAATAATTAGGATCTCAAGTCCGATCTTTAAAGCTTCAAAATATCAGTCGAAATGAAATGATGTAATGATTAGCTTTTTCATCAATTCATCTAGTTTATATTCATGTGATGTGTTTAGCAATAAAAATGTCATTAAACTGACCAATAATTCATTCGAAGTTGATGAATTGTGCCGGAAGATTAAAGAATTTCATTGCAGCGTTTGTCATAGTCTTAATCTCTGGAAGCACATAATAATCACCAAGTTTTATGGGATTCATGTTTCGAAAAAAGTTGCTGAAGGTATTAAAAATATGATTTTAAAAGCTCATCTAAAATGTTGCCCCATGAAAAACTTTCAGGCGATGCAGCGCTTTCTTAAAGATCCTCCGTGTTTAATTTGCCAACCCTAGTCCTGATTTCAACACCCCTTTCCGCCACCCAAACCCCCAAACCCCCAACTACCCACAAACCACAAAAACCCCCTGGGTTTATCCGCCTTAAATTTGTGTTTATCTGGGCACACGACTCGATTAATTTCTGCGAGGAGGGTGCGAGGACTAAGGCGGCTGGGCGTGTATTTAATTGCCAAGGACAATTAAAAACAATTTTGCAGGCACAAAAGAGTTGGCGATAAATTTAATTGGCCCGCTACCGTTACGCCCATTGATTATTTTCGGTGCGGTGGGCGTGGCAGGGCGCCGAGCAGCACTTTTCACACCTAGTGACAAGGTGTTCAGGGTTGCCATCGCCCAAGAAAACGGGTGGATGTAGATGTGGCTGAGTTTTCTGTTTGGTTTTCCGCTGGAATGGGCGGCAATTTATGCGGCTGTCAGTTGCAGGGGCAGCTTGGATTTTTATTGGCACCCGGCACGCAGCCAGAACTTCCTCTCAAGTAATTGCATCGAGCACATAAATCAATTGAATTGCATTTTCATGCGACAAGTTTGGCCAACCCTCGATTGTCTGCAAGTGAAGTGAAAGCCAAAAGTAGTTTTCCTCCAGGGCCTGCCTCTCATCTTTTTTAGCTGGCCCTCGAGCGTGGCGTAATCAATTGAAATAGCATCCAATGCGTCACTAGCATCCACCAACTTCGATTCCAAGTCGAAGCCAACCCCCTTTGAAATGTGTGGATTATTCGCCCTTGTTTTCAATGGGACACGTAGGAAGATTATGGGCGACTTCGTTTATGGCTTATCAAATTAAATGATTAATGTTTCCCTGTGTTTGCTCCTTCTCTGGAAAATGTCATCGGCAGTTTCCAGCTTGGCTTTTTCAATTTTATTTTCTTGCTTGGAGTTGAAATGTTTCTCGTGTTGTGGCTGTCAGTTTGGTTTAACTTTCTTTCAACATTTTATTGGGAAAGTTTTGTTTGTGGCGACCTTTATGCTTAGTCTAGATTTGTGGCTGGCAAAATTGTTTCCAAGTATTTAGTGTCAATAAGACCCAAGGAATTAAAACTATCCCAAGGTGTCGTGTTTATTGAAAGTGCTCTTGGCTTGGAGTTTTTATTGGTTAATCGTGTGGAAGCAGCTGGAAACTCCTATTCTCTTTCCATATGTTTCCTTACTATTTAGTGGTACATGTCATTTCCACTGAAAAGCAGTAATTTGTCAATGTAATATAATTTAATGTGAAAGGGTTTCGCTCTCATCATCCAATCATGGTTCCACTTGCTCCTGCGAGGCACTCAAAATTCCAAAATTCCATCAGCCAAAGTTTCCACTATCCGCCGAGCTCATGATCCACACACACACACACAAACACACTCATCACATTAATCAGTCAGGACGGACAGTGGAACGGACAGAGGAAAACGCACTCAAAAGTATAACTCATCAGGGCACAAATTACAAAGACAAACGATGACTGACAACCGCAAGGCTTTTTCGGCTGGAGAGCGGATGGGTCGGGAAGTTGGTCGGGGTCACCACTTAGCACCCACAATCCCAGCCCACAGAGATGCAGCTGAAGTCGAGGGGCAGGGACACGAGCGTTTTTGTTAATTAAACAAATGCCGCAGTGACATGTGCACATCACGAGCGATGTGATGACTTTGCCGGGGTTTTGGTTTGGGCCGCTGCGGTTTATGCATCTGCATTCGTGATGCAGATCGGGGTATGCATGTGCGCCATCTAGGGTTGGAAAGTCGGATAGTTGGGTGGCTTGGGTGGCTTGGGTGGCTCGGGTGTTTGGGTGGCTCGGTGGTGCTGCATACAGTACCCACTGACAATTCCGCTTGACAAAAGCGCACACAAATAACGGAGGAAAACAGGCGACATCGCTGACAATGGCTCCGCATGCAATTTAATTTATTTCAATTGCAACGGAATTATTACGACAGACGACAAAGTGCCGTCGCAGAGCAATTTACCCAGAATCCCTGGGCATTCCCCGCGTTGGCCCAAAAACGCAGCTTCTTTATCGCTTTTTTAGGGAATTGTTAATAAACAAATTCATGTGCGAAGAAAGTAAGCGCAGCCAGCGTCGATTTCAATTAAACAGACTCGTGGCTCCCGTTGCCCACTCAAGTTGATAATGACCGCAGTGGCGGTGGTAGGGGATTTTTGAGGGGGTTTAATTCTGCACCAAGGGGGAAACTTTATGAGTGTTCTAAAATATCAATTTATGTTAGCAAAATCTAAAGTTTTTGTTTTGTTCTCAAAGTACTCCAACTTTAAACTTAAATTAATTTATTTTGAATATGGAAGTGTCATAGAACAGCCATAGATGGCGTGTTATATTTCTTGGTACTAATGAATAATGACAAAACACCTTTTCAATTTCAGTGTACCCGAACTCCTAGTAGCGTCCCCATTTAAGACACCCAATTCCCGTTGCCAATTCCCAACTGCAGTTTTGCAATTCCGACCCATCGTGGGTGGTGCGGGCATTCAGTTGCCCCACTGTGGATGGCGTTGTTGTTGCTGGGGCAACAAAACACTTTTATTTTTTGTGTTGTTATTGCAGTTTTTGTTGTTGTTTGGCTTGGCCAGTTTCAAGTGTAAATTAATTTATGAGGCACGCCATGGAGCCGGCGCCAGAGTTGCGGTCACCGACACCCCCCCTCGAACCCGCCCATGAACGAAGCTGGGCGGGTGTAGGGGGGGTAGGGGGAAATGTCAGGCCGAGTGTGAAATTTCATATTTGAATACGCGCCAAAACGTTGACAAATGAAGTCTGCATAATTGGCTAACATTTGGTCACGGAGCTTGGGTGCCTTTATGAAACCTAATGCACGCTGGAAATACTCGGATTTATTGGACAGATACAACTAGCTTAGTATTTGGAATATATGAGCAGTAAGTAAGTAGTAGTAACAGATTGACTAAAAGTTGTAAAAAATGTTTCCATGGTTTTCCATTGGCTTAACTCACCTTTCAGTGTGCCGATGAAAAACAGAGCGGCCAGCAAACTGAGATGGCCAAACATGTTGATTGTTGTCGGATTTATGTTTCGAATGGCTTCCTGCTTGCTCTGATATCTGCAATGTTAGAAGATGGAAAGAATGAGTATGTAAATAATTATTTATTGCTGCAGACGCGCCCGTGAGCCAGTCGCTATAAGCGACAGACAGAAGGCAGCAATTTGTTTGATTGTTTGGTCCGCATAATAGAGACATTTCTCTATGTAGAGGGTGCGGGTAGGGGGCCCAACCCTGGAAAAACAAGTGCGGAAGAACGCCAGATGTCACCTGTGATCAGTTACCTGTTACCTGTGACCAGTCACCGGTTCACCGTCATCATTCAAATGTCATTTTCCTGAGGGCCGGCCCGCAAATTGCCGATTGACACGCCACCTGACGCTAATCAAAACTACACATGCACTTTTGGGGGCCAAGGGCCTTTGGTTCGCTTTCCCACTCCCCGTAGCAATTAAGCTTGGTTTTGTGTTTTGGGCCTGCTAAATTTTCATTACTGTGGCCATTGTCTGACCCAGGAACTGGGGGAATTTGAATTCGATTTAGAGCCATTGGTAAGCCCACGTGCTCCCCACAGTTCCCCTTTTCCAATTGCTCGATGATTGTCATCGTAGGTGTGACTAATTGTTGGTCATTTATCTTCTTTGCTTTCTTCTCGAATTTGATTTTTTCTGTGTTGTTGTGCCCCTGGCCTCTTTGTTTTTCGGTTTTCCATGGAAGGCATGAATAATTTCCATTCTAAATGGATAGGCTGGGCTTTCCCTTTCTCCCCGTCTTCTGTGTCTTCTGTGTCTCTAATTGATAGATAATTGAAGGTCTTGGTGGGCAAAGGCGAGGACTGATCAATTGGCTGTATATAAGGCACCAGATGAGTGAATCCCCTGATTGAGTGACGTATAAGATGGGCTTAAGTTGATCATGCATGGTAATTCCATCGATTGGATGATGTCACTTCGGGATTGGTTGGTTATCAGTCTTTAAAAGGCTTTAAGGGATATCTGCGTAGCCACCTATTTGTTCATGGACTTCATTTGTTTATAGGCAGTACGAATATTTCCATCACTTTTCTTAGTTAAGTTAAAAATTGCAAAACTATCACTTTTCATTAAAATATAATCACTTTCACACTCGAATATAATGTTCAATTGATTTGGTTATCAATTCCAAATATAGCGCGCTATTGTACAATTTATTAAACTCTATGCAGACATCCCATCTATAACCTTAAATTCGTTGCAATGTGCCATGTGCTCCCAACAAGATATCTAAAATCTGTGACACCAAGTTTTATATATAAATCCCATGTGGGTCACTAAAACTTTTTGATTGACAAATGCAGAAGACATTTATGGTGCGAATGGAATAAAATCAAATAAATTAGAGCCCCGAATGACTGTCAGAAAAGTGTTTGCATGCAGATGTAAATATGTTAAGCTTGGGCAATTCCACCAAAGTAGACTCTGACTATCCGGACTGTAATGTGACTTGCATGTCCGTGTATCTTTTGTATCCTTCTATCTGGGCTCCCCATATCCGTTTCCTTTGTATCTGTTCGCTGCCATCGTAAACAAGTCGGCAAGCACCGACTGCCATGGGCAACCGCCCCGCCCCCTTTGGCAGGTGAATTTCCCGCCCCCCTAGACAGGTGCACAAAACTGAGCCCTAACATAGTCACACACGTCTCATTTTCCCCACACATTTCACTCCTGTTTTTATATCTTTTTTCACTTGCTGGCAAACTAATTTTAAAGCAAATGCGATACTGTCGCAAGTGACTGAGACCACTCCCCAGCCTGTTGTTGGGTTTCCTCCGCTGGTTCAGGTGGTTTAGGTGGCTCGAGTTGGGAGTGGTGCTTGTATGTCACCCTGTCAGCGATATCCTTGCTCAGATGAGTCCTTGGTGACCTCAAGTGTTGGTAAAAGTCGAGGTTAGATTTTTATTCGTGGAGGGTGTGGTTTGAAAACATTGTGTGAATTATCTGTTCATACAATTCTATATTTTTGGGAAACATTTAACTTTGGCTGGTAAAGCATTTACTATTTATGTTTATTTTTTAATAAGCATATTTATTGCTGTATTGCAGAAACGAAATGGAAAAAGTCTTATTTTACAATTCTATTTTTCCAGTGAACTGGAACAAAAGTCTAATCACCAGAAAAAATATTATTATCCTTGCGACACTCACGTGCCTTTATTTTGTGCAGCATCATTTACATTATTTTTCCATTAAGAGGCGAAAAGTTAAATCGAATGACAAGCAGAAAGTAGGAGAATAAAATAGCACAACTGCACTGACAATCAGTTAATAGATTTTTGCAAAAGTAAACTAACGTTTTTTAACAATGGGTAATCATTTTAAAGCAGAAAAAGCAGATATGTATACATTTCATTGTGACAAATTTTCATTACGGTCAAAGCTCGGAAAAAGAAAAGGAAAAGTCCTGCAAGTCGGAAAATAGACGAATCACACTCGAAAACTTTCGCTTTTTCCTTATTGAGGTTTTCAGCAGCTCTGAGACCTTTGCAACAGAAATGTGTGAAAATTCTATGGAAAACGAAAAGTTATCAGAATCTCCACCCCTGCCGCTTTGCCTTTGGCTATGGAAAATTGAAAAGTTATCAATTACCGTTCCATTTTGAGTGATTGAGTCTCCCAATCCACGCCCACTTTGAAATGAAAGTGAAACATATGCCAAAATGCTTTGTTTTTCTCGGCTTTCCCCGCCCATCCCACATTTTCGAGCTTCTTTAGCTCAGGTTACAATTTCTTGGCCCAGGGCGAATGCAGGTAATTGAATTTTGGGTTTTGGCCAAGCGGCTGATGTGGCTGAATGTGGGGATAACGAATAATGTTCAAATTACCGAACGAAATAAAATTCACAATTCGGTAGCTAGATTGAGGATGTAATTATTTTAGGTTGTTTGCTAAAGGTCAAAATCATTTTGGAATAACACATATTAACTTGAACGTATTTATTTTGCTAATTTATCGTGGTAAGCACTTAAACGGTAAACATCAAATGTTTCCAAAAAGCATTTGTATAATTTGCAACAAATTAGCTTCCATCCAAAGCCTACTAGCAAATACTAATAAAAATTAACCCACAACAACAGCACTTAATTCGATTCACCCACTGAACCACTTGACTTGATTGAAGGCAGATCAAATTGCCCAAATAAAAGCCAACATAATTACGATGGGAATTAATTAATAAGGCCGTACCATTAATACCAAAAAATATTTATACTGATAGGGAAATGCAAGAATTTCATTGCGAGACCAAATAAGAGGAATGTGTTTTTAGAATTTATTATGTTCATGTGGGCGGGCCACTTGCTGGGTTGCCAAATCGATTTCAAAACTTCATAAACAACCCGGCGAAGATTTGAGAAATCTGCGCTCGACCAATAAACTGGGAGCAACAAAATCAGCGCCACAGAGAATCGAAACTTATAAACAACAAAAGCTGCAGTTTGTGCGCCTTAATTTGTTTATTTTGTGCTAAAGAGCAACACGCATCGAGTGCCATAAAAAATCAACAGGCAGCATTAAACAAAAAACGCGCAGTGGCAGGGGCAAACTTACAGAATTTATAAACTGTGCAAACTCTGGCCGAGGGGCACTCTGGCCGTAAAAAAAGGCAAATACCGAGTCGAAAGGGAATATTTATGCAAACGCCAATTGAGCTGCAATTGAATTGAGCCACGAGGCATGGCGCATAAGGAATGAAACATGAGGCATGAGGCACGTACTTTCAGATGCCTCATCGAAAAGCGGGAGCTGTGAAATACCCTTTGTGAATAGAGTTGTTCTGGGTGTGTTTTTGTTTAGTTAACATTAAAACATTTATTCACATGTTGATATGGAAAACATAACGACTTAACAATTTAATTTACTTATCTAATTTAAACTCAATGCACTTTAATTAATTACAAATTGCATTAATATACATTTAACGAGAACACACGCATTATAAAAATACATAATTACGAATACCTAAAAAAAGTCGATGCCTTTATGTTTTAAATTGCGCTTATTGTATGGCCTTCGTTCGAAAAAAACCTTGTCTTTGTGATCCCAAATTGCGTATAATTAAAACTAGCCAATAAATGTCACCATACACATTGTTTGCAGTTCAATACAGCAATTTTAATTGCCTGCTAATTTCCAACCCAGAGCATTTCCAATTCGTTCGATGAGCTTTCATTTGTATCTTTTATTAGGCGCTCCGCCGGCAGACCTCCCGAATTGATATACAGGGCAGACAACGTGACGTATGAGTGATGATGCGTGTGCGTCTCCTTGCCCCGCCCCTGTTCACCGCCCACCATGTAAACATTCAATGCGATAGTAGCAGCATATGATTGCCATATTTGCCAGAGCGCCAGTTCCGAAAAGTGTTCGATAAATGGGAAATTAGGTTGCAACGACGCCGGCGCCAATTCAAAAAAAGTAAAAACAATCGGAAAACGAAAAGAGTTTCCACTGGCACTTGTTTATGGCCGCAGAAGCCACTTGAGGCTGTTTTGAAAAATCCCCCCCTTTCACCAACCGCTTGCCTCCTCTAATGGGCAGCGTTTGATTGACTGACGAGCGAACGAGTTGAATGATTGCCTGCTGCACATATTGATTTGCATCTAGTGGATCGTCCATTTGCCGTAATTTGCCCTACACAATGCCATAATTTATTTGATTGATATGCCATATATGCGCACAGTTTATATGTGTCATCTCTGCACATGCATATATATTGCATGAATTTTAAAATTATTTGCCTTGGCTTCTCGCCATTTGTTTGCCGCTAATTTGACTGTCAATCAATCGGCGTATGCAAAAGTTTTTCTGGGCCATATAAATATTTTTCCGTTTGTAAATTTGCTATATATAAATACACAATTCCCCATTTGTTTCATAGCATTTGCTGACGTTCATTGTTTAATTTCTGTTCTGCATACAGGTTGGGACTTAAAATCAATATTATTTTCTGGCATTTTGCAAATAATACTTTTAATTTTTTACCTATCTTTACATGAAATGGATCACTTTGTTTTAGATACTGTTTGCCAATCAATTATTCATACATATGATAATATTTTGTAATACTGCTTAAAACATGCTTAAAACCTAAAAGGCATACAATTTAATATCAATGCAACCTAACTTGCTTCTTTTATTTCAAATAAGTACGAACTAAGAAACCAAAGACATTTTCCATCAATTCCGGACCGCCCACTTTATGCATAAATGTTTTATTACATTTTAAAATTGTATTTTTTTAATAAATTCTATAACAGATTTCCATAGAGAGTAGAGGGCTCAAATTAATTGTGAGACGTCCGAGAGCAGGAGTCATTTCCAAACGAATTTTACCGAAGAAGCAGAAACAATGGTTTTATTTAACTTGGGCCCAGGCCATCTCAATTGGGAATATGCCATAAATTTGCAGAAAAATGGAACACAGGGCAGAGAAAATAGGATTTTACTGTGTAAAATTTTGGCCTGTAACACAACCGTCATCATCCTCGCCTTGACCATCATTTATGCATGACAATTTTGCTTTTCTCAGCTGCATCCTGGAAATACGAAGTGAAAACGGAGTCACAACTATGCCGATTGCTCCTAGGCGAATTTTCCTGCAAATGAAAAACCCATAGATAATGCAGACGAAAACCGCAGCAAAATGGGGGCAGAGGAAATATAAAGCAATTTTCATCCCATAACTGAGTAGGGAATTCACCTTTATTTTTTGTCCAGGCAAACACAGTTGGAGTTGGGTTTTTGAGGCACAGATTCGCATTCCGAAGGCCAAAAAAATGCGTATTTTCTATAACTTAAGCTAGCTGACAGGGAGAAACCAAAATTTTAAACTGTGCGAATGGGTTGGCCACAAAATGTCAGTTACAGACACCTCACCAAACTTTGTTCCCCTTTTGCGAACCGCAAACGCGACCAAATTTTTGGGGGAAGAAAACGCAGAGAAGGAGTTGGTTAACGTTTTCTTTTTCCCCCATTTCGTGCAAATAAAATCAATCAATTTTCGGTCTGGCAAGTGGCAGTAGCAACCAGTGGAAGCAGCAGCAAAGCAGTTTTCTAAGTGCTCTTCCGACACCGAAATCTATTTGCCAAGGTGATGACAAAAAGTGTGGAGACAGGGAGTGGAAAGTGGAAAAAGTATTCCGGGGAGCTACGACTACTTTTATGCTGGATGAGCTCAAATTGTTAGAAATAGTGCGAAAGCGGAATGTGGATTGGACACATCTGAAATTTGTTATTAGATTAGATTATTATTAAATTTTCCAGACTTATATATCGCCAAACAAAATTAGGCAAATTCTTTGTAAATTAACCGAGCCATTTCGGAGTTACTTGAATAATTAATTATAAATTTATACGTTTTATTCATTGACTTGAACATACTTTTCTATGCTCACATCCCTAATTTAAGGCATTCAAAACATTCCCATTGAGACGATACTCCTTAATAAGTCATCGATTTCCATGGCAGTCGATACAGACCCACTTTCGAGTACGGTTCCGTAATTAATAGAATCAACTGGAGAGCAAACCCTCAAGTGTTGAATGATTTAGCAGGCCCTTCCCCCACCTCTATCTGATTTTCCAGCGGAAAGCGGCGAAGAATTTTCATTAAAAAAAACCGCAATGGGAATGGGAACACAGAGTTTTCGGGCCCTGTGTCGATTTCTGTGTAATGCCCGAAAATAAAAATCAATCAACACGTTCGCTTAATAGACCATCGACTCTCCGCTCAGATGTAAATGTATCTGCAAGATACATCTTCGAGTTTAAGTATTGCACAAAGACAAATTGCTTTTGTCTCTAATTTTAACACGACTTTGACGGCTCTTCTTCTCTCAAATTTTTTTTCTCTCTGCTTTAATTTGTTTGCCGTGGGAGTGGAAAAATGTTCACACGGTTAAGGTTTTTTTCTTCAATATTGTCTATGTTTTGCTTGAGCTCTGTTTGGAATTGATTGGCGCACGTTTTGCGCGTGGCTAAGCAAAAAAGGGAAAACATAAATAAAAACAAAGGAAAACTTTACTCAATAAGCAAAAAACCAGCGAGAGTACAAGTACACAAATTTTTTATGGGGGCTGCTCACGAAAAATGCATTTCGTAAAATTTCATATTTACATTTGGGGTTTTTTTTACCGCTCTTCTTTATCTTCTTCGGGTTCAATCTTTATTGAATGTCTGCCCGGCGTCTCCAACTTCTTATTTTTTTTTTTGTATTTTGGAGGCAACAGCACTTTGTGGGTGCTTAAAACAGCTGACAGGCCCCACTGACAGATTGATGTATGTTGATTCTCCCTTCTGCCGGCTCCCTTCCCTGGTGAATATTTTCCACACTCTTAATGAAAATATTTCTGTTTGTGCTATTTTCATTTGACTTTGCGGCCTGCTCGAAGATTTATGTCTTTGGCTGGATTTTCGCCTGTCTTTAACCTGAGTTAATTTTTATTGGGGGCTAATAGGGCCCGAACCTTGGTGTTTCCTAAGATTGACATATTCTCGCTTACTCAGAGTGTTTTACAAATTTTGGATTTGTTTAACTAAGAGGTCAATATCTGCATTAAGGCATTTAAGTGGAAGCCAAGCGAAGAGTAGTCAACTAAGGACTTGCCATCTATGGGGAAATTCTAGTGTAGCATCCAATGTATTACATATAAAATTCTTAGGAACAGCGTGTATATCTTTGTAACGCTTTATATGGCAGCTATATTCTTCATTTTCTATTTTAATACTTTCAAATTTCTTTAGATTCCAGAATATAACTTTGGTCACCTTATTATTTTACTAGAATTAAAATTATAGTTGTATGCATCTCCTAAGTATAACATTGGGTAAATAAATAGCAAATTGTATTATTTATTAAGTACACTTTAAGTGTCAACCCTTAACTTTAACCTAAAGCAAATACATTTGTGTCAAGATCCTTCCCCTATGATCAACATAGCCTTTGTTAATCACCAATTTAAACAAATAGTTCTAATCAGTTTAGGAAATGTAAGCTTAGCCTCTTAATCTGAGCTTCCGCTGAGATTAAACCATTTGGACAGTTGTAAATTTATTCAAAGCCATTGACAGTTGCTTGATATATTCCCGCCAAGGATTTTTCCAATTTTTAACCCATTTTCCAGCGCGGCGACAGGCAAAGCAAAACTGGCTGAACGCATAAACAAATATGCCAAAAACATAGTAGAAAAAACTGTGTGGAAAATCTCGCGCGCTAACGGCAAAATAAAACAAAGCAAGGAAAACCCGCAAAAAATGATTCGGATCCATTTGCTGACCCAAAAAAGGAGCGCCAAAGGAAAGCCTCTGGAGGTGGAGATGGCCGGTAGCTCGAGGGGGCGTGGCAGCCAACCCGATTGTGGGTGTTATTGTTTATCTTGGTGAGAAAATATTTGTTTATTTGCACAGATTTCTTTTTTGTTCACTTATTTTACGTTTCGCATAAATTTTTTGCGTTTCAAAATTGTTATTGTTTCATTTATGCGTGCTGCACTTACTTTTTATGACTTATTTGAATGCCTCTGCTTTTTCTTCCTTTTCAAGTTACCGCTTCAGTTACACTCCTTTATCTCGATCACTTGGTTTTTGTTTACTGCTGTTTTCCCGCTGTTTATCAGCTGCTTTCGATCATATTTCGTTTGAAATCATATCGGAAGAGATTTTTCAAAATTCCAACTGCTACACTAATGCACTTTTCAAGCCACTCTTGCACGAGTGGCGGGTTTTGGGGGTTTTGTGGGGTTTCTTTCCTTTGTTGATAAATTTTTCTGTTGACCGGTCACACTCTCACGCACTCTCACACACAGATGACACTAGGGGCTACAGTACCGTTAATCCAAGCGTCCGTGACCTGCGATCCGTTACAATGCTCGCGTCGAAATAGACTAAACGTATCTTTCAGATACATTCGCCTCCCGTTTTTCGTGTTCGTGTCCAGCCGAAAACATTCGTGTCTTGGAACCGAAGTTGCGACGACAGCCCACGAAGTAGCGCCCTCCTGCGGATTTTATGTGAAACCCCAGTCTTATACCGCTTAACAGCGTTCAAACAGCACAAGTTCGTGTTTGAAGAGGAGAATCAAACAGAAACATGCACAATGTTCGAAGGAAAATGTTCGGGCTTGAATCAAACGCGGGAGAAAAACAACGAAATCATCCTAAAATTTGGTTTTATTGTTCAACTCCTTTATTTTCCTGATTTCGACAAATTAAACAAATTAATCAATTACGTTTTGGGACACAATTAACACAATTAACTAAACAAACACAAATAGTTTACATATATTTATAAAGAAAACATTTCGAAAATTACGCATTTCGAAGCTTTTTTTAATGTGGCATAGAATATCGCTAAGCATTTCGGTTTTGCGCATCATCGGACATGGGATCAGCTTCAAATTTCCGAAAAATCCGAATTCTACTAAGCTGCTGCTCTGTCAAAGATCACTAAAATATGTTTCGATCAACATAGTGCAGATTTTCAATTCGATGGCTTTATATTCACATTTTTTGGAAGCCTCATATGACCAAGTGTCGACTAAATGTGGGAGGTTGGTAAATAATCTTGCAAATAAACCAGTAAAGTAGGCACTAAAACCAGTCAGTTGACAGTTTCAGTTACAATATCTACCTACCTGACTACTTCGAGAACGTGTGTGTGAACGCAGTAAGTCATGATACGATTGACTATGATGAATCTTGGGGTATAGGCAGCTAATGAAAATTCAAATAGCCATATACTGAAATAAAATGTAGTACAGTCCTTAAACTATAAGACCAATATTGTTGTTTTAAATATATTCTATATTCATGTTTGCAATAGTCATATATGTACATAAGGAAATCTCTGAAATTTTGGCACTTTATTATAAGAAAGGATACCAGTCGTGCTACAAGTCCATTCGATCAAGCATGAACATGACCGACAAAATATTGGTCCTGCATTTTATGCCCTTTCTGATAAACAGGTAGTCCTTATGGGTTGTTTTAGATAAGCAGCCACAACCAGGTATAAGTGCAGATGTTCTTACAAACAAAACAACGTAGATAAAAACCACTTCCTCGACTATTAGATACCCGTTACTCAGCTTGTGGAAGTACGAAGGAGACATATAAACATTTTTCTGGCATATCAAAAAATTGGAAAAACAAATATTTAAATAATACCGCGACTGTTTTAGGCAGTTTGTGGGCGTGAGAGTGGGGATGGCAACTTTCTAGATCAAAAAAGTTCGAGATCGAGGCATTCAACGAATATCGTATACCCCTTTACTCTACGAGTAACTGGTATAAAAATTAACATAAAAAGGGAATCCTTTAAAGAAAGAATATTTATTTAAACACTAAAAGATGGAAAAATATGTTTATAAATTGTTAACCAAATCGTAGCTAAATTATCAATTAATAAATACCAATTAATTGTACAAAATATAGCGTAAACATTACTTTTTTACGTAGATTAAGTTCCTACTAGAAAGAAAATCCAACACTGGCACATAAACTCAGTAACTAATGCAGCACCTTACCATCCGGTGCCCACAAAAACAAGGCGATTGCCATTTTGCCCCCGAATTCCCCATTGAGACATGCCGCAAGAAAATCTCCTGACCATATCTACTTATAATGTAAATAGCGGCACGCCCATAAAACAATTTGCCCCGTCTTACAAATAACCCTAGCAAAAGGCAGCAACAAATTTAACACTTAATTGTATTAACAGGCCCAGACATACAAGAAAGGGAGGGACATATATAAATATCTAGGGGCATGGGTAATCCCAGAAAACCAAATCCGGACGCGTGTCCAGTTTGTTGTTGTTTGCTTAGACAGTTTAGGGCCCGCACAAAGGGCCAATACAAAAAGGGGCTATAAGGCTAAGAAAACAACCCGAGAAGGCCGAGATTGGAACGGGAGGAAAGACGGAAAGATGGAGGGGGGAGGAGTTCGCCGGGTTGATTGATGATTTTATGACATTGTTTACTCAAGTGATGATGAGAAGAGTAAGCAGATAGCCGGCCATACCATCCTTTGTGTCCTTTCAAGCCGGTGTCGAGTGAGGCTCGCTCCTCGGACCCTGCTAATAATTTCCCCAGCCCCACGTCACTCTCTCCTATTTTTATGGTCCTTCCCGGGAATGCTATCAATCTTTTGCTTATTAGGGATAATATTACAATTACTTGTAAGTGAGATAAGCCCCAGGGCAGCCGGGAGTCCTTAGTCGGAGCTGGGACTCGGATTTATCCGGGGCTCGCCTCGGTTTAAGTGTTCAAGTGGACTCGCTTTGATCTCGGGATGTGTGCGATTGTGTTGTGTAAACAGATATCAGTTCAAGCGAAGAAGTCAAACGATTGACAAGACGAGCAGGAAAAGATCTTCAAAAGGAATAGTTCTGTCTTCGTGGAAGAATGCAGTCAAGGCGCCTCTGACTGAAACGTGCCGCCACCTAGATGTAATGTCATTGAATTTCAGTATTGAAAACCATATTTTAAAAAGTGCAATCCCTACAAAATTTCAAAATATTTACATTTACGGTTTTAAGCAGTAAGCTTCCTTTTACACGAATTACTTCTTCTGCATGTTCTTTATTTTATTAAGTTTTATAATTAGTTCCTATTTACCACTGATCCTTTTCCTCCAACACCTTTCCGCGCCACCTTTTAAACTACAAAAATTAAGCTGCTGGAACCTTTGGGACTCCTCTCACCTGTTTCATCTCAGCTCAACCTGCTTCAATTTAGTCATAAACTCGGGCATATACCTGCATATATACCTGCAGCCAGGAACACCCGCGGGTTTCAGTTGGGCGCTGTGTTTTGTGTTCCGTCGGTTTGGTCAGGAAGCCAGCTGGTTCCATGGTCACTACACTACACCGCCGCATGTCCTTTATCCTTTTGTCCTGCCTGCTTTGATGATAAATTAGACAGCGGGCTGTGGACGAGGGAGGGGCAGACAGCATTTGCGGCTCTTTAGTTGGCCTCACTGGCGTTTACCTTTCTTCCGCCTTTCCTCTCCTGGCTCCCTCCATTTTTTATTGCTTTATTATGGTCTTCCAGTCGGAGTCCCGTCTCCTCCAAGGACCTCAACGGCAGTTGATGTGTGTTTGTGCCCGAGCAGAAGAAACGGAGCCGATGAGTGGTTACATCACCAGCTAATGGTTCGGTAACTGGCCGGGATTTTGTCAGCCTTTTTCTTTCGGACTTCTGATTTAATTTAATGAAAATTCGCTTGCAGGTGAATATACAAGCAAATGTATGCCGCACCTTAAATAAAATAAATAGCATTTTAACCGCATACTAAAATAAAATGTCGAATGCCACCGCAGCCAGTGCTCACTTATCTAAATTTGATAAATAAATAAATAAACAAAAGTTCGACGAATTTTAATTGAAACATAAAAACATATCATTAAAATGTATTTAAATGGCGCGTTTTAATGCAAATGAGGTTAAATAAATACAACATATTTCACAACTCTTACATTTCAAAGGAAAGCAAGTGATCTCCAGGACACGTGTCCCGGGTAAAGAAACCCTAGACGAATTCCCCATTTGTTCTCGATTTCTCATCAGCTGCTCCCCTTCCTAGGCTGTAAAGAAAGAAAAAGTAGATCAGCCTTGAGCCTCGGAACAATAAAAATTAACCCACGTATTCGATTCGTGCCAGGACCAATTCGCCACGAAAAGGGGATGGATTTGGTATTTGAACACATGTCAAGCTGTCAATGTTTATCTATTTGGGGAAGGTGCCTATCTCTTCTGTCGCACTTTCAACTCTCCACGTGAAGTGGCAGCCGTGAATTGAGGATTATCGGGCGTCTTCTTGATTTATGGTCAGGCAAACAAACACGAAATGTACCAAAATTCGACTCAAAATGTGATTGAAAACTGATAAGCCACACAGGATTGCCGTTGGGGAATTTGCTGCAAGGGGCGGAGCGCTTCATAGGTGCAAAGGGGCATAAGTGGGTGCAAAAGGGTTGCAAGGGGGTTATTAGTGTAACTGTCAGCTGGCAAAGTGTTGAGTGCACGTCCATCAAACTTGGTCTGCGGTCAGTGGACTGGGATTCGGATTGGGATTGGGTGTTTCACAGGAAGGCGTCCCTCGATGACATTGTACATAGACAAAAAGACCAACTAAACTTCAGCTCAACTCGCTGGAACAGTAAAAACATACTACAGACTTTAGCTCAATTAAACGCCAAATTCGCAATTTAAAAATAAAAAATTAGGAAAATGTTTAATTTCAGATTATGGCAATATTTCGATTCTGAGCAATCCAATGAAGCCTGTTTACTGAGCAGAATCACCTCTATCACTTAATAAGAAATTTTATTGGACACAATGACAGAGATAGATTTTCAGCTAAATGATTAATAGTTGCACTTGATGGTATTTCTGTGTAGTAAAGTGTTGCATCGCTGCAGAATGTGACATTTTCCAGTGCACCAGTGGCTGGGTATCCAAAGCTGATGCCTTAATTTACCACTAATTTGTGCTTATCTCGCCGCATTCCCCTGGCGACTTGGTGCCACATGCTACGCCCGACTTGGGCGGCACTCGGAGCTGCAACAGAGGCCTGGGAACGGGCGTTCCTTGGGGCAGCGCAACTTGCAACCGATGCAAATCGCTTTTGCAACGCCTGTTTATGGGAAATTGCGCTGGGGCACGCAGTCTGGAGACCGAGTCTGCAACTGGACTTCACTGAAGCATTTGTCAAGACAAAAGAATTTGGATATTTCTGAGAACCCAATAGCTTTTGGGACCGTTTTTGCTTGGTACTAACCTTAACACGGATATTTTACAGACTGCCTTTAAATACGTACTAACAGATAAAGACTTGAGAGAGTGTAAAAGTGTAAATGAAATATTTGTAACTTTTATGTAAATCAAAATGTCATGGTATCTCGAAAATGCCCATTTTAAT